AGCCAAACAACGTCGCTGAGTTGACCCTGGCTTTACAACAGAAGAACATCCCCCAAGCACCTGTTCGACGTTTGTGCGAATGCATGCCACGTCGACTCCGTGCATGTGTACAGGCTCAGGGAGGTCACACTCGCTACTGACGGACGTAAGGGGGGTCTATGTGTGACGCTTGACGTGTCAGTCATATTGGCGGAACTCTTGCAATCATTTTTTATGAAAATTAAGCACAATGAAATTCTCAACAATTTTCATCCAAGTATTGTTGTTTGTTAAGTTTTCCTCATTTGAATTTTGTTTTGCGTTTTCAATGTGTGTCAGTATATGTTTTGTAAATAGATGAGGTTTTATAATTGGTAGTTCAGATTTTCAACTTAGATTGTTAGTGGCTGTATCCTCAAAGGGGGTTGAAGTAGCGTAAAATTATTGTCCTCCTGAGAGGGTACGTAAGTCCCTAAAACTTTCAAAGTAAATTTAGGCTTGCCACGTTTTTAATCGTAGAATATGTGTGCTTCTAATTTATGGCTAGATTTCTCTTCTGTCGCCGATGGCTGAGGGGATGGTGTAAATCCATCTAGGGTCCATGCAGGTAGCAAAAGTAATGTAAGTCCCCATGGTCCCTGGTATGGTGATCTACCTTCAGTTATTGGCGATTTATAGCCCATTTTTATACTGTATTGTGTTCCGCCTATAGTTAAAACGTTTTAGATTTATTAACTAGTTTTACATGCATATCTGTGATATACTAATTGTTTTACTGTCCTTCGTCGGCAGGTTTTTATAATATACATATATTTCATTTCAATATCAAATGTTCTCGTCACGATATGACTGAAATATTGCCGATGTGAAGTTAAATATTAACTCACTCACTCACTCAAACCGCCGAGGTAGTTGCACTTATATTTATACCAACGGATAGGAAATTTAATATTCTACATTTCTGTGTAATTTTATAGCCTTACGTAGATCCAGGACCACGCGAGGCAATTCTCGCACAACGTTCACTTTTCAAAGCGTATGATAATGTGCGCCTGAAAAAAAACTCGGCACCAAGGGGGTTAACGCCGCATTCAGCAATAGTCCAGATATTTATCAGCCGTGTGTAAATACCCTAGTCTGGACCAGACTATCCTGTGACTGGGAGCCACACCGTGAGCAATCTACGCAACTGGGATACGATGACCCGCACCAACCAACTGAAGAATACAGCTTGATTGGTTAATGTTTTTGCAGTTCACAAGGCTCACTGATCTTGGAAATATTACAAAGATGATACTGAGGATTGGCGAATTTGGAATAGGACCTGGGTGGTTGGTGATTGGGGTGAGTGTTACTTTTATAATTTGAAACTGTGTCATTGAATTAGGAGATAAACATCATGTGTTGGCGGTCGGTTCCAAATGAATTCCCGTGCTTCAAATACTCAATAACACCCGGAAATTGGCCAACACATGATGTTTATCGACATTGTAAACACAAAAGTAAACCAAAAGGTCCACACACCTTTTTCTGTCTGCACTTATTGACATCGCGTACGGGTACAGCAGTGAAATGTCATCAGCCGGCCGTTTCGGCTGTCTCCAATGGTAGCATCTGGAACTGTTCATTTGTGACGTCATTCGGACTTTACGTCACAATATGATTTTAATGACGTCATCACAGCTGACGACGTAACAATACAATGATGTGAGCGATGTTTGTATGTATTAATACGCAGCGAATTTCCGGGAATCGAATACCATTTGATCACGTTTTTCAACCAATCAGATTAAAGAACACAGTGACCTTTGGTTTACAATTACACAATGCAACCGCTTTGGCTCCCGTTTAACAGATAAATCTTAGCGCTCAAGTGAGCACATTTTCTTTGCTTTCATACTTGGCTTAAATCCGTTTAAGCGCTAACATAGCAACGGAACCCTAATAATGATGAAATGGCATGCTTGCGTGTGTTTATGTGTGTTTCCTTGACCAAACAGCCTGTTGATAGGTGGGTGTAATTTGTATGGAGGCTCAATGTCTTATTTTACAGATGCAAGGCTTTATTTGTCAAAATCAACGATGAGCCTTAATAGTGCTGTGGCAAACAGACAATTACATTTTTTAACAGCCTGAGCCATTATTATCATTAACATTTCTTTTGGCACTTTATTTTTTAATACCACCCCCTACCTAGGAGGGGCGGTGGGGTAGCCTAGTGGTTAAAGCGTTCGCTCGTCACGCCGAAGACCCGGATTCGATTCCCCACATGACTACAACGTGTGAAGCGTGTGATTTCTGGTCTCCCCAGCATGATATTGCTGGAATATTGCTAAAAGCGGCCTAAAACTAAACTCACTCACTCAACCTACCTAGGATATCACGTGGTCATCCTTAGCTGCTATGAAGGAAGGGGTGAACCGAATTCTTTACCAAACGATAATGCCGTTATGTTAATCTCTCTTCGATTTACAACCGGTTCTAACAAATGCTAATATTAATTATAATAGGGTCATAATTTGTCTTTACCAGCGCTTGTCGTAAGAGACGACTAACGGCATCGGGTGGTCAACCTCGCTGACCCTTTTGATGCATGTTATTGTACCCAAATAGGGCCCGTAAGTAGGTCAAGGGACTATGCGAGACCTGACATTGTTTAGTACGGCGACAAACAACGTTTTACGGCAGTGACAATAGCACTGTCACTTTTGGGGCGGTGGGGTAGCCCAGTGGTTAAGACGTTCGCTCGTCACGCCGAAGACCCGGGTTCGATTCCCCACATGGGCACAATGTGTGAAGCCCATTCTGGTGTCTCCTGCCGTGATATTGCTGGAATATTGCTAAAAGCGGCATAAAACCATACTCACTCACTCACTCACTTTAGGTTTTTTTAAAAGGATGGGTGGCTGGACTAAAATCAAGGTCGTTACATCCGTCTGTTCATTTAAGCGTGTTCGTCATAAGCGGAGTTGTCTGTATGTATCTTTACAGGTGGAGGTTCGACGTACACGTAGCTACGAGCGACACACTATCACAGAGACATTCTACACTTACATCAACAAATGGTTCCAAAGGTTGGATGGGGTGAATTTCTTCAACCGTAAAGAAGAAAAATATGAAATGCCTTACAAGCTGGTGTCCACAGTCACCACGGATCAGTGACAAGATTTAATATAGTCTACGTTATGTAGAGAAATAGATGTAGGTTACGATTAGGTGAGCATGTGTTATATTTCCAGACAGAGAGAGTTTATTTGTACGCGTGACCATACGTGTTTCATCGTTGTGTTCTGTACATTTCTTATCCCTCGCCTTAAATATATTGAATGATTGATTGAGTGAGAGAGTATGATCTTACGCCACTTTGAGCAATGTTTTAGAAATATCATGGCGAGGTAACCCAGAAATAGGCTTCACACATTGTACCCATGTGGGGAATCGAACCCTGGTATTCAGCGTGACGCGACTACCCTACCGCCCCCTTAAGTATATTGATACAAGTAGTATAGGAAGGGTCGCCAGACGGTACTTTTGGTTGAGGGAGGTTGAGGGAAGGTTACGGCAAATGCATTGGCTGATCCAAGTCACGTGGTCGTAGCTGATGCAGGACGTCATAGGTCAGGAAAGGTCAATGAAAGGTGGGTGTTTTAATGCAGTCTTGCAATCTTGTAGAAAACCCTTTATAAGACGTGAAAAAACAAAAGCAAAGTGTCATGAATTGAGCTATGTATAGCCTGCTGCCCTGAATAGACAGACAGCACCTGTCAGACCAGTTTGAATTGAGCGCGCTTGACAACTCACGTGACCCCGTCGTTTCAAATAGCCCGCGCTAGGCAGAGCCTGCGATCTGTTTTGATGAATATAGGGTGTGTGTTGAAACTACACCATAGCACAATAAAGAGGGGTTGTGTCAACATTATATACGCCGGGTAATGTAGGAAAAATGTACGTCTAGCTGCATCAAATTCATCCTGTACGGTGTATTAGTTGTACACCATGAAAGTTAGACAAGCTGTTTGTCAAGAGAAAGAAGAAATAGATAAGACATGTAGAGGCAAGCAACGTATTTCATGTTTACGATCTTCATCCTTCATTCGAAGAGATAACATATTTCAACATGGACATTTTAAACGCGAGGAACATGTTTCACTGGAAATATATGTTGAAGCAGGTTTATTCATAGCTATGATGGCATTACTTTCTCATAAAGACTCGTGTGTTGAGACTTGTTTGTACACGTCACGAGTGCATCACGTGACTAGACCCGCAGTATATGAAACAGATTTGGTCGAATAGAGAATCATTTACAGCGCAGAAGCCTTCGCTACCACACTGAATGCTTTTCACTTTGCTCAGTGTTATTGCTTACTACCTGGAAGATCACAGCACTATCCTAGAGTCATGGCAACGAGCACAAAGCAAGAAACCATGGGTTCATCAGTAGACAGAGATCAGAGAGACGATCGAGAGAGCATGTTTCATATCGGAAGTAGTCGGTATATCAATACCACCCGTATGAGTGAAGTATCCTTGGTCTCGGTGGATGTTGGGCTTTTGGCGTTTGATGTGGATGGCTTCGGTGAGCTTGCGTTTAGTGAAGTCCGTTTGTTTGTTAGAGAGAGTGGTGATGTCAGACATTCCATCCGCTTATGATGCACTCATCCACCAAGCCCAATCTACTGTATAAACATCTCATTATTATTTGTACATCATTGGCTTCCTCGCCTGTCCTTTGTCTACTCTCTGGCTTCATCAGCTTTCTGCCTAGCCTATTATGTTAATTATGTTGTTTTCTTTGTTACATTATTACAACCAGTATATATATACTTCCCCCTTCTTCATGTTCCATTATGCTTGACAACGGTACAAGAATCTGTATCGAAACGTCGCACTCACGAATAAAAAGAAGTTGTTATCCATAAAGTTTGTTCTATACCCCCATTCATGACACACAAGATCCGTCCCTTTAAGTATATGTTGCAGCCTGTGCTGGTCCAGTCAAAAATGACCAAGGCGGCGGGTCGTGAGAGATGTATTTATTTGTTGTGTCGCTGTGGCATGTGACACTCTGTAATAATAACAACAAAATATACAGTCAATATTTCCAAACACATTCACATATATACACACGGGTAAATCAAATATTGCAAAGAACAATTAAGATATCATTATCAAACCAATGCATACATATGATATGCAGTAATATAATTACATAAGAGGTTCATAAACATAAGCTCATACTCAAACACCTATTAGTTGATAGTCACTGATAGTTAAACACATACTAAATCTGCATTGAATGATCATATATACATATACATGCAATATAACATTTGCATCTTGGCATATCAAGATGAGAAACTATAAAAAACGCATACCATGTGGGTGACACAAATGTGTAGCCTTTGACCTGGGTGGTCGCCAATGCTCAGAACACTGAGCAGTACTCGGAAGGTGTAACCTATAGTGTAAATAATATAAATACCATAACTTTGTTGAAAGTGAGTACACAATGCAGACAACATATACATAATCTAAATATCATAACTTCCATATTTACAATTTCCTGATTATTACACCTTGGACAATAATCATACAGATAAATCTTACAGTATGCATTTAGATTAAAATAGTACACAACCATTACAATGAAATCTGACACATTCATCCATGACTCCATTCATAACATTCATGGTCATAAATCCCTAACTATTTACTATATCACACATTAGATTACTTAAAGGTATTTAATACAATCAATAAGTTTAATATATTTCATACAGTAGACTTAGTTTAGTAAGTAATAATTTTAACTAACCTGTGGACTGATCTGTACGGTGGATGCAGTGCAGTGAATGTGACAGGTGCTGAGAGGTGTTAAAATGGCTGGTGACATAGATATTCAAAATCACCAATCAAGACAAAGAATCAGGCTTCAGTCCTTTGATCAAGACAATAGAGTAAATACACGAAAATGGAATAACCTGACTACCCTTAAAACAAGAATGAACTGACCCTATAACCTGATTGAGCTATTAGAGTATTATACCTGAGATGAAGGTAGACAGGCAACTAATTAGATTACTTATTATAAACAAGCGGTAGTTTATACACTATATACAATGATAAAACCTGATTGGTACAAGTAAACAAATATAAAATATGTTTGATTTCATCCCTGTTACACACTTCCCCCCCCTCCAACCAATGACGTCCTCATCATGAAAGCTTTCCAGTCACAAGATCAACTAGAGCAACTGAAGCTTTGTTGGAAAATATCCCCTTAGCAATAAGAGAGCTAAGGTAATCCGCCCGGGAGATCCATTTTTCCTTGTTAACTGCAGATACTGCCATAATGTAGTCTCCACTTGTCTGCCAACCTGGTTGTATCCTCGCTCTTTGTGACCTACGGAGAGGTGGGGTTGGCAATATCCTTCTCCTACGATGTTCGGATACAGGTCTATCAGGAGACGATGTCCCGGAGGCTGCATCAGGTGGGGGAACATTAGGTTCCACTGCTGGAAGATCTGGAATGTCAGCTACGTCGGCTGCTTCTGCGTTAGCTTGATCTGTGCGATCGTCTGCTTGATCTTGATCTTCGTGGTCCATTGCTTGACCTTGATCTACGTCCAGAATGGTATCTGTATCCACTTCAACCTCATCTTCAGCTGGCCTATCAGCTGGTGTACCAACTGAATCTGAAGGGTCTGGTCGTGTCAAAGGTAACATTGCATCATCATCGTCGTCGTCATCATCATCATCATCTGAACTCTCCTTGGTTTGCAATTCCTCAGGGACTTTCTGGTTAGATGCTCCAGAATGAGGTCTTGACACCTTGGATTTTGATCTTAATACTGGTGCAGATGCATCTGGGATTGGTAAAGAACCGATAGGAAGTAACAAATTCCTATGGAGTGTCCTTGTCTTCCCTTCTCCATTTTCTTTCTGGACCATATATACTGGAATACCTGGGTTTGGTTGTCTCAGAACGACATAGACGTCCTTTTCCCATTTATCAGCGATCTTGTGCTTGCCATCAAATGCTACTATTTTCACCAGAACCCAATCTCCCATCTCCAGCATGGCTGCTCTAGCTTTCACGTCATAAGTCTCTTTCTGTCTTGCTTGAGATTTGTTCACAGCTTTAGAAGCAAGATCATAGGCTTGTTTAAGTCTATCCCGTAGAGTTTTGGTGTACTGGCACACTGACTTGGATTTACTTGGTTCAATCTCAAGGCCAAATGCCAAGTCAACTGGTAGTCTGGGATGCCTTCCATACATCAGAAAAAATGGAGAGTAACCTGTTGATTCATGCCTTGTAGAGTTATACGCATGTACAAGTGGGCCTACATGAGATTTCCAGTCTCTTTTCCCATCAGGGTTAAGTGTTCCAAGCATATTCAGAAGTGTTCTATTAAATCTTTCGCAGAGACCGTTGCCCATTGGATGGTATGGTGTTGTGTCCATGTTAGTGAGGTGGCAGAGTTCAGTCATCAACTTTCCTTCAAAATTAGCACCTTGATCAGAATGGATACGTTTCGGTAAGCCGTAATGCACCACAAAGTTTTGAAAGAAAACTTCAGCTGTTGTTCTCGCTGTCATGTTTCTGGTAGGATAAGCCTGTGCATACCGTGTAAAGTGATCTGTTACAACTAAGATGTGTTGTTGTCCTCCTTTAGATGGTTCAAGGGTCAAGAAATCCATGCATACTAATTCCATAGGCTGTGAAGTTTTAATGTTGACTAACGGAGCTCTCACTGCTGTTGAAGTTTTTCTTCTAAGGCATCTTTCACAGTTCTGCACATAATCCTCAATGTTCTTTGTCATTCCTGGCCAGTAGAATCGTTCTTTTATGAGGGAATGCGTCCTGTCTCGCCCAGGATGGCCAATCTGATCATGAAGACAACGAAGTACAGACTGTCTACATCTCTTTGGCAACACTAATTGTTTGCAATCTTCTCCATCCTCTTATGTTATCCTGTAGAGAACTCCACGACACAATTTGAAGTTAGAAAAACTCTTGTTCAAGGTGATCAATTCTGTATCCCCAATGCAATCTTGATGCTTTAGTCTTGTTCCACTCCGGAGATGTGAAATGACTGTTTCCAGGGCAGAATCTTTGGCCTGAGCTCTCCTCCAGTCACGTGCATTCAAATCGCAGGTATCCTCTGTTGTGGCTAATCCTGAGTCGTCTACTACTGCTGATGACAAACAGACACTTTCCACTAAACTGGGTACAACTGTCATGTTACAAATAGCATTGACAGATTCGGATGTTATCATTGGCTGTTGAAGTCGGGACAGTGTATCTGCATCAACATTTGACTTTCCTGGACGATACTGTATGTCGAAGTTGTAAGTAGATAAAGCTGCCAGCCATCTATGGCCTGTTGCATCTAGCTTGGCACTGGTGAGGAGTGGGTTGTTATCCGTAAGGACAGAAAACTCATGGCCGTACAAATAATCATGAAATTTCTCTGTTATAGCCCATTTCAGACATAAGATCTCCAGTTTGTGAGCGGAGTAGTTGCGTTCAGACTTATTCAATCCTCGGCTGGCATAAGCAATGACTTGTAGATGTCCATCATGATGCTGATATAAAACAGCTCCCAATCCGTGTGTGCTAGCATCAATGTGTAACTCAAATGGCTTGGAGTAGTCAACATACCCAAGAATAGGAGGTGTTGTCAAACGATCTCGCAACTCTTGAAAGGCTTTCTCCTGAACAGGTCCCCATATCCACTGTACTCGGTCAACTTTGTCTTTCTTTGATTTTGATTTCTTTGAATGTGTCTTTGGCATCAATTCCGATAGAGGTTTGGCAATTTTGGAGAAGTCCTTGACAAATTTTCTATAGTATCCAGCAAATCCCAAAAACTTTCGCACTTGCTCTGGACTTGTTGGTGTGGGCCAATTTTGGATCTTTTCAATCTTCTCTGGGTCTGCCTCAATTCCTTTTTTCAGATACCATATAGCAAACATATTTCACACGATGTTTGAAGAATTTGCATTTCTTTGGTGCTAGTTTCAAGCCACATTCTCTAAGTCGTTGAAATACACATTCCAAACGTTCCAGATGTTCCTCGTAGGTCTTAGAGAAAATAATCAAATCATCAATATAGACGAGGCAGATTTTCAGATGTAATCCTGAGAGACAGTTTTCCATTAATCGTTGGTAGGTTGCAGGGGCATTACAAAGTCCAAATGGCATCCGATTGAACTCGTAGAAACCGAGTGGCCCGACAGTAAATGCTGTTCTTACTTTGTGTTTCTCTAGTATCTCTACCTGATGGTATCCAGACTTCATATCAAGAACGGAGAAGTATTTCATGCCACCCAAACAATCTAACAATTCTTCCACCCGTGGCAGAGCATAAGAGTCTTTCAAGGTCCGCAAATTAAGCTGGCGATAGTCCACACATACTCTTAGATCTCCATTGTGTTTGCGTACTAAAACCACATTTGATGCCCAAGGACTGTGTGAGGGTCTTATCACTCCAGCAGACAGAAGTTGTTAAAGGTGACTGTAGACTTCATCGTACATGGCTGGAGGTATTCGGCGATGTCGCTGCTTAAATGGGATATCATTGACAACGTCGATGCGATGTTGCACTGCAGTACTATGGCCTAAGTCATCATCCCCTTTTGAAAATATGTCTTTGAATTTGGTGATGATGTTCAATCCTAACTCCAGTTCCTTTTCAGAGAGACCTTTTTGTTCAATCTCGACTTGTTCAAGGACCTTTCTTCCATCTTCCGTCTCAAGAGGTAATATACTTCGGACTAGTACAGGTTGGAGTTCACATAACAGAGCACGTGGTCTGATAACAACAGTCTGAGTGGTTACATTGGCTACATGTACATCAACGGTTCCAGGATGTTCACAGTTGTATTCAACAATAGACGGGGCAATGTCAAGGTCGCTTGGAATAGCTGCACTGTCAGTGGGTTGTAGTATGGCACAAACCTTAGGGAAGTTCACGTTTCGAACTATCTGGCCGCTAATGACTATTTCACTGTTAGCAGGGAGGTAGATATTGGCAGCTTCAGCATTCCTCACAAGTCCAAGCTTTCCACCATTCCTGTGAAGTTTATTTTCATGTAAAGTCAAACTTCGCATAGCCAAATACCAAGGTGTGTACAGAGCAGCCTTCTGTAAGAACTTAACCCCATGTTTGCTCCTGCATTGATCCATTAGGTGAGAAAGAATGTTTGTTCCAAGTAATGCTGGCACTTTGTTGTTATAGTTGGTATCTTTGGAGATTAGGAATAAACAAGAAATGGGCTCCTCAAATCCGATTCCTTTTGCCTCTAGTCTAACATCAACATATCCTGTATATGGTAAAGATTCCCCACCTGCACACTCAATATTAAGGATATCTTGTAAAGGCTCCAATGGAACATGCTTCAAGTATGTATCATAGAATGACTGTGATAGAATGGAAACAGTTGCTCCCGTATCCAGCAATGATCGAACCTGCACTCCTCCAATAATGACGTCCACTTCACTGGCATTTCCAACTAGCCCGTCAGGTATCGGCTTTGGCTTGGGGCGCTCATAGATGCCTACAGGTGGCCCCTGCCCATAGGTCTGTGCGAGTTTAAACCTCGTCCTCTCCTACTATGGTCCAGTCTCACATGGCAATGATACTGTGTGTGTCCAACTTGACCACATCTCCAGCAAGTAGGTCCCATCGGATTCCAAGCCCTTGGTTCTGCAGAATACTGTTCTGTTGTAGGTTGGTACTCTGAATAACCTTGCTGAGTATTTCTCGGAGAATTATATCTTGCTTGTGATGGACCATGACCAGGGTTATTTGTCCAATTGTGATATCCAGGTGCTTGTTGTCTTCCCCTACCATGATATTGTAAGTCCTCTCCTCTTGTACTGGCTTGTTTGATTTCTGCTACCTCTGTTGTAAGTTTGTTTAGCATGGCCTTGACGTCATCCATTTCCTTCTTCCATTCAGGAGGCTGCTGCTCTGTAGCTCTCTTTGCAGTGGCTGTTACGGTTGATTTACTTGGCTGGGCAGAGCACAACTGGTCATTCTCAATTTCCCGTAGAGCTTGTAACAGGTCATCAAAGCTGTCCGATGAATCAAACTTGTGCCCAGAGATGTTCTTTAAAGATGGTCTTAGTCCTGTCCAGAGCATGTTCCGAAGCATCTCATCTCCATCTATGTGTCCAGGGCTATCCTTTATTGCATGAGCCAACAGTTCCTCCAAACGACAACTCCACATGGAAACATCTTCATCATCCTTCTGTTTGGCACTGTAAAACTGAGCCATCCGTGATTCCTTTCTGTCGGCAACATCAAAGATGATCTTCAGTTTCCTAAGGAGTGCGGAGATATCACTTCCATGCCTCATATTCACAGCTATCTTAGCGGCATCTCCCTTAAGTGAATCCTTAATGGCTTGATCCTTGACATCCTTGGGATAGCTCTTGGATTCCAGAAGACTGTTGACATGATAACTCCAGACATCATATGGTGTATCCTTCCCATGCCTGTCACTGCTAAATGGGGGTATGCTGGGAAATCGTTGATAGACAACGGAAGAGGATTGGGCAGCAGTGCTAGGTCCTTCTGCTGCAGGTTCTGTCTTAACAGTAAGGGAGCCTTTCAACCATTGTTCAAAGTCTTCAGGTGTATTGGCTTTGGGTTTTTCCTTTCCACGTTGGAACACTTCAAGCATATTCTGAATTTCCTGCTCTGTGAATTCCATGGTGACTAACAGCAATGACTGTCCAAAACAATTCCACGATATGCGAAAACTCAAGGAATGCTGACTAACACCAATAACGAAAACAAGTCCAGCCAGACCTCGAACCAAGCACAAACCCAAGAATCAAATCCTGAATTCTATCACCAACTAGTCCCACAAAAGACACTTGATGACAATAGACTAGCAAACAAGTTGACAGTGCCACCAACTAAACCAATGCAACAGCAAGATTGACCAAACTCAAGACCAACAATATCCAAACGGACCCAAGCAAGTGTTTATCACAAAACACCAAAGTCAGAAATCCCTACTCATGAGCTGAAATAAATAAATGTACTTATAAACACAATATGAAACTTCACTTACACAAGTTTCATACGAAGGAAGACTGAATGCGAAGTAAAGGGAGAGATGAGTTAGTTATGTGCGTGACATGGTGAGTGCATGTATCTACCTGTGTGCACAAGCTTTACATGACCTAATGTTTATTTACATAACACGCATATACTTACGTTAATGGATGTGGCAAATATATATGCCAATTAAGGAAGGAAAAACACAATTCAAATTAATCTAACTGATGAACTAATTAAGTAATTATGTTGAAATAAATCTAATTGATAACAAGCACACTACTGTTTATTATGCTTTCACACAAACACACATCTAAATCACACAAGACTAAGTATTTATATACTAAAGACTAAAGATATATTAAAGCAGTATAATCAATCAATGATAATAACTAACGGTAAATGACAATAACTGACAGTAAATGACAATAACTGGCAATAAAGGACAATAACTGGCAGGGTACCCTGAGAAAAACAATGTTCAAGTTTGGTATACCAAATACAGCAAAGACAAATAAATTATTGCTGGCAAATTTACAAAGTGTCAAGACTGATATGGCACAATAAAGCAAAGCACAATTTCACATTTAAAGACTAATAGATAAGTATTACATGACAATAGTAGGATCAAATTACTTGGTGGTCACGCTCAAATGTGTGTGAGCTCACAAGATAGAACGAGTCAATGTCAGTGTGCACACAGTTTAAAGTTGAATATTGGCCTCACAATTGAGTCCGACTTGATGAATTCATCAATTCACATCATAGTCACATCACAGCATCATTCTGCATACACATGAACATGTATCTATGTGTCATCAAAGATTGATTTGACTATTGGGCCATACAGATAGGCGTACAGATGTTTACAAACAGGTGTTTTCTCACTGTGAGGGTTGAGTATGGTGCTCCTCTGACGTCACATCCTGTCAGATCCACTTCTACACCCAACTCCTCACTGGGGGCTCCATTGTTGCAGCCTGTGCTGGTCCAGTCAAAAATGACCAAGGCGGCGGGTCGTGAGAGATGTATTTATTTGTTGTGTCGCTGTGGCATGTGACACTCTGTAATAATAACAACAAAATATACAGTCAATATTTCCAAACACATTCACATATATACACACGGGTAAATCAAATATTGCAAAGAACAATTAAGATATCATTATCAAACCAATGCATACATATGATATGCAGTAATATAATTACATAAGAGGTTCATAAACATAAGCTCATACTCAAACACCTAATAGTTGATAGTCACTGATAGTTAAACACATACTAAATCTGCATTGATTGATCATATATACATATACATGCAATATAACATTTGCATCTTGGCATATCAAGATGAGAAACTATAAAAACGCATACCATGTGGGTGACACAAAAGTGTAGCCTTTGACCTGGGTGGTCGCCAATGCTCAGAACACTGAGCAGTACTCGGAAGGTGTAACCTACAATGTAAATAATATAAATACCATAACATTGTTGAAAGTGAGTACACAATGCAGACAACAAATACATAATCTAAATATCATAACTTCCATATTTACAATTTCCTGATTATTACACCTTGGACAATAATCATACAGATAAATCTTACAATATGCATTTAGATTAAAATAGTACACAACCATTACAATGAAATCTAACACATTCATCCATGACTCCATTCATAACATTCATGCTCATAAATCCCTAACTATTTACTATATCACACATTAGATTACTTAAAGGTATTTAATACAATCAATAAGTTTAATATATTTCATACAGTAGACTTAGTTTAGTAAGTAATAATTTTAACTAACCTGTGGATGCCGGGTCAACACGCCTTACTGTTTCCAAGTGAAACTGTCTCAACATTTGAAACTGGACGGCATGAGGATGGTGGCTCTGTTAGAAATGAAACTGGGCCGACTAGAGTTGACAGATATCAATAATATGTCCATTGACGTGTTGTGTAATCTGTGCGACAGTTCACACGTGGGTGAGAATTATCTATCTTTATTGAGACGAATCGATCTGAGAGATGGACCCAATTATTATTTTCACCAGCCATGGTACTTACCCGTTATCGTGAGAGACACCTCAGAAATCTAAGTGTATATAAAGTGTGCGGAAGGAACATCGCATTTATTTCTGAAAGAGACCGTGAACGTATCACTTGTGTTGCGACGTTATCTCTTTCTGAGTTAAGCACTATGGAACAGAAACTGAACATTCCCGACACCAAGAAGTTTGTGGACTTTTTACTAGATCGCAGACGTAAGCATGTGGGAAAACAGCTGGTCAAAGGACGTCCCAGTTCGCGTATCATTCCCATCGCAGCCCTAGCAAAAGTTGCACCTAGCCGAGACTCCAAATTGAACATAACAATGACGTCACCCAATCCGAACGTGGTCCAGAGAGCCGAGGCGTCTCAGAAGCATACTAAGGCTATAAAACGTAAAGCATGGGACAAGATTGTCACTTCGAAGAAAGTACGTCGTGAGGGTGACAGCTCTAAACGATCCTTTATCGAGTTTAAGGACACTCCTGCCATCGACCCGAGAGATATCTTCCAACACTAACCATGTCGGTACTCACAGAGAAAGAGTTTACAGAAGCCCTGCCAAATAGCTTAGATTTATTCGAATTGCCTCCCTATCAAACCAGCACCCTGCAATATTACTACATGAACGTAAGACCCCTGTCTATCATCACCGCTTCCGGTCTGGTTGAATTTCACATTACGAATGGCGGGAAAGACTACATCGACTTGGGCAAGATGCGACTTCATGTCAAACTGAAAGTCAGTCATACCGACAAGACGTCCTTAGCCGATAAAGAAAGAGTAGGGCCCGTCAACCTCACTTTGCGAAGCTTGTGGAGTCAACAGGGTCAACAGGTCAGTTCCAGCAATGCCGGTTACCCTTACAAAGCCCTCATGGAAACCGTCCTCGACTATGGAGCCGATGCCAAGACCCGCCAGCTGACAAGTCAGCTGTATTACAAAGATTCGGGTGCCACCTTGGAGGACTTTAACTCCGGGGACCCCTACGCCGGTGGGAATGACGGCCTCAACAACCGCGGAGGTCTTATCGCCGGAAGCCGGTCCTTAACCCTAACGGGAGCCCTCATGGAAGACATGTTTGGTTTCAACCGTCATCTGGTGAATGGCGTGGACGTGGGGCTCAAACTGTTTCGCTCTAGCACATCCTTTGTCTTGATGTCTGAAGAGACCGATAAAGATTACACCGTGGAACTGCAAAACGTGTACCTGAAAGTATGTAAACTGAGAATCAACGATGCTCTCATCGTGGCCCACAACAAACAGTTCGAAAAAGGCAATGCCCTGTACCCGTACGAAAGATCCATGGTCAAGATGGCTTCGGTCATGTTTCAAGACGAAGTCCCCAGTCAACTGATTGTCGCCTTGGTGAGGTCTGATGGGGTGAACGGATCGTACACGGTCAATCCGTTCTGTTTCCAAGGCGATATCGTTAAAAGCAGGGACTGTACTTGAACGGTACCCCTGTACCGGGACGTCCGTTAGAGTCGGACGACATCGAGACTTACGCCAGTCTGTACGACTGGAATAACGAATGGCGCAAAGACAAAGATTTGAACTTGGACCGCATGGAATTTCCCATAGGTCACGCCTTGTACGTGTTTAACTTGAAAGACATCAGAGCCAATAGAGGGGAATATCTGAATCTGGTCAAGTCGGGCAATCTGCGACTAGAAGTCCAGTTTGCCCAAGCCCTCGCCATACCTTCAACGTCATTGTCCTGTCTAAGTTTCCGGCCCTCATCGAAATTGACCAAAGCTGAAACGTGTTTCTGAAAAAGTCAATGTACAAACAACAGTTACAGTGTGCCATCCGTAGCGATCCCAGGATTTCGTGCACACATGGTGGGTGTGTATGCAAGAGATACCCTAGCTAGCATCGCCTCACCTTCCAGTGGAAGACCATTGGGTGTGTGTGTGTGTGTGTGTGTGTGTGTGTGTGTGGCTAACACGGACCTAGCGCGTGGCGAGGGTCAACATTGGGTTGTCTTCTACTTTGACAGGAGTGGAGTCGGCATGTTTTTTGACAGTTATGGACAGAAACCGAGTTACTATCCTCGTGAATTTGAACACTTTGTAAAGAGACATTCTCGCAGTTATCGATATAACATGACTGTTTTACAGCAATATAGTTCGAGTGCTTGTGGATGCTATTGTTTATATTAAGCGTTACAGAAATGTAGAAATGGAGCTAGTGTACGAGATATCGTACAGATGTTTTGTACAGACAAAACACGCAATGATGCGTATGTGACTTGCTTATCTGTGACTATTTCAAGTACTGTTTCACGTGTTCTACGATATAACATGCATTTACTTCCTGTAGAGTGCTAGAGTAGTCAATAAAACCAGAGAAAATGTCTATTGTGTTTCAGTTCTATATATGTTAAGGATGTATATATGGTTGTATGTAAGTAGGGTAAAATGGTTACAGGGTTTTATGATTATTTAAGACCGAGGTATCATGAGTACGTTTCATTGATGAGTGTGACATCGTTTGAGTCAGTCCTGGCTAGATATGTGCTGAGACATTACGCGTTTTACAGACAACTTCATTCACTGAATGATTACGAAGGAACTTTGCGTGATATTCGTGGCATGAATGGCGAACAAATCAAGGGTACTAAAGCCATTGTAAAGCGACTGCTCGATGCACGCATCCCGGTGACATGTGGAGAGCAACGTCGTTTCCTGCAGCCTAATCCCCACAACAATTATTTGAGGATGTTGTGACGTATCGCTCGAGCCGAGACGACAGATAGAAGCATTAAGCGAACCATGTTAAACCATATTCCCTTGATTCAGTTTATATTCAAGTATGAACATGGCAGACACGTCAGAGACGAAACCCAAAGAGCTCTCCAAAGAGTGGCTACAACAGCGACAACGTCCACCCATACCGAGGGCTGTATAAATAACCTGCACCAGTGACAGAATGTAACAGTTTAAACAGACACTCCGTAAGCGAACACTATGTCCGAGAAATGTTTGCTCCCTATCGTCACACCTACCACCTTATCCGTTATCGGGGGTACGTGTAGCGGGAAAACCTATTGGACGAAACGCCTGTTAGAGAATGCCAATACAGTCTTTGATAAGCCAGCCGAGCTGATCGTTTATTGTAACGGGGTGTGGCAGGATCTGTACGCCGACATGCAGCAATCTATTGCCAACATTCAGTTTCACGAAACTCTGCCCAGCGAAAGTGATCTACGTTTGTGGTCTGATCAGTCCCACAAAAGCATGATTCTCGTGTTAGACGATCTCATGATGGACATTTGTTCCAGTAAACTCATGTTAAACATGTACACCACCTTATCGCATCATCTGGGCATTACCGTAATCAATCTGCTACAGTCCGTCTACCCTACAGGTCCCTGTTCACGGACGGTCAGCGTCAATACGCATAAGTTCGTCTTGATGAGCACTCCTCGTTCTGCCCACGAATACAAGATCTTGGCCTCGCAAATATTTCCAGGACAAAGCAAGTATTTTTCGGAATCTTCCTGTCTGGAAGATCGTGTGCACCACCCCACCCTCCCCTATCCTGTCTGTAAGATCGTGTGCACCACCCCACCCTCCCCTATCCTGTCTGTAAGATCGTGTGCACCACCCCACCCTCCCTTATCCTGTCTGGAAGATCGTGTGCACCACCCCACCCTCCCCTATCCTGTCTGTAAGATCGTGTGCACCACCCCACCCTCCCTATCCTGTCAGGAAGATCGTGTGTACCACACCACCCTCCCCTATCCTGTCTGTAAGATCGTGTGCACCACACCACCCTCCCCTATCCTGTCTGGAAGATCGTGTGCACCACCCCACCCTCCCCTATCCTGTCTGGAAGATCGTGTGCACCACCCCACCCTCCCCTATCCTGTCTGGAAGATCGTGTACACCACCCCACCCTCCCTATCCTGTCTGTAAGATCGTGTGCACCACCCCACCCTCCCCTATCCTGTCTGGAAGATCGTGTGCACCACCACCACCCTCCCCCTATCCTGTCTGTAAGAACGTGTGCACCACCCCACCCTCCCCTATCCTGTCTGTAAGATCGTGTGCACCACCCCACCCTCCCCTATCCTGTCTGGAAGATCGTGTGCACCAAACCCACCCTCCCCTATCCTGTCTGGAAGATCGCGTGTACCACCCCACCCTCCCCTATCCTGTCTGTAAGATCGTGTGTACCACCCCACCCTCCCCGATCCTGTCTGTAAGATCGTGTGCACCAAACCCACCCTCCCCTATCCTGTCTGGAAGAGCTTCCCCGCATCAGTGTAAAGAGATCACCTTGAAAAAGAGCCCTACGAGGTTTTCATCGAAAGAGGCGTGCATAAACTCACTTCGACGAGCTTGGCGGACCGGGGTGGACCT